TTTCACGTGCATTTTGTGCATCAAATGGCCAGGTGACTTTCAAAGTGTAAATGGAACCATGCACATCGAGACTCAATTGCTCAGTTGTGCACATACAATTACCTGCTCAAGATGCAGACAATTGTTTGTTACTGTACAATATTCTTGCCTACATTTATATATCTAATCCTGTTTAACCACCTAGTACGATTTCTTTTCCTAGCAATTTGTGTAATCTGGACCATGACAGATATCTTACGCATCATCATCAAAAGTGGATGTTCTTTTTCATTTAAATACCACAAATTTAATAAACTTTTAGGCCTTCAAAGTTGCGTCAACTCCAATGGGGTGGAGACTGATTATTTTGTGGACGAAGAATGTACAAACGCAGCTTCAGAAACCTACATCCTCTATCCCATTGCTAATTCTGCTGAAGTGGAGATTGGAAGGAACCAATATGGATTAAGGGAGACTATAAATGAATGAAGAAGGGGTATTTGATACTGGTAGTTCAAGCATAAGAGAGGTCATGCTCTCTACTTACCTCTGCATTCTTTAAACATATTCATAGATCATAAATTTTGTCCAGATTTGAGTGGCCGGACTTTGGGTTTTATAATAACGTCTGCATCTATTCGTCGATCAACAATTTTTGCTTTTTAATAGGTACAACTGACATGAGAACATTGTTGTATAGAGAGCAAAATTTACTTTTTGGTCTTAATTAGACGGTACGTTTGCAAATCTGCTTTCTTTTTAAGCCGTACCAGTTACTGTTAGCCTCGACATCTTGCGATCTGTTGTTTTTTGGGTTATTAGCTAGTTTGATGTCTACAAACAATGGTAGATCTGTGTTTTCTTCCTTTGTCTTAACGGGTTTCTTAGAACATGGTCTTTTATGGTGCGAATGTGGTGAGCAAAATGTAGTTAAATAAGCCTTAAAAACCGCTGAAATTCAGCAGTTGTTTATGAAATAAGTGCATTCTTATGCCATCTCTACTGTACTTAATAGTGCGACTAGATTGGAATTGAAAAAAGTTTTAAATTACCTTTATTCATTTGGTTAAACTTTTGCAACTCCAAAGTAACTCCTGCTCATTACGCACTTTTTATTTGGCACCCTTATCTGTTATTTCGCTTGCTAAATGATTAAAAATTACTAATGTGAGCTATTCTCAACCTTGGATTAAATTTCAACTCCGCAATCGCTCTTTGACGATCAGTCCAATAATCGACAAGCCTGATAATTAGGAAAAAAACTTAAATTTATTCTCTTTGTGCAAAGAATTTTGTGTCATTTCTTGTCTATTTTTAGGTAGCGAACATTATGTCTTCTGCGCTAAAAAACTCAGAAAGCGTTTAAAAGTAAACACAAATGGATATTTCATCAGTATTGTTCAGTGAGATATGCTAAATAAATAAATAATCAATCTACTCTCATTTACTGTGGCTGATTAAGTGTCGATAACAAAAAAGGACGCAATTACTTTTAAAGGAACGAATATATCCTTAAAACAAGCTTATGGGATAAGGCTTTGAGCTAAAATAGTTGTTGGCCTACTTTACAGATTTGGTACGTCTTTACACAGAGTTTGATATAACAGAGGTTTCCACTGTCAAAATTATTCGCTCTTCACCAGATTTACCCAAATGCTTAATTTCTAAGGCATGAATATTTTAAAAGTAGCCCAACTGTCCAAACGCGCATCCTAGCATAGGTTAGGCTCCAATGCCACAAAACTATTCATATCTAAGTATTTATCAATTCGATCAACCGATTTGCACCTAAATGCTACCTGGTCATTGGAGTTACCAAATGCACACAAATTACGCGCAACGTATTCGGACTTTAAATTCAAGGAACGCATACTTCATACTAGTTGTTTGGGCCAAAATGAGAAGCAGCACGGCTCCCTAAATTAGTCAAACATTCGCCATAAACCAGAACATCTAGTAAATCAATCAGGAGCGTGTTGCTGCGGTCGAGAGCCCGGCTATAATTAGATCCCAATAATTACTTTATTAACTAAACATTAGTAGGCAATTTTCGTTAGGCATTATGCTTCAAACTTACTCTGCGCAAACGGTCAAATTTTTCAGAAATTTTCAAAAATGTTTGCTGAAATCTAATGCAAACCTCTGTTCTAGTATGCACAATTAACGGGCATTGGTAAGCATTTGTCTATGTACTGCTTCTTTTCAAATAAATAACTGGGGACATTTTTACTTAATGGCTTTTAAAATAATTATTCTGGATAGATTCAAATTACGAGGATTAACGGGAAAAAATAATTTAACGAAAGTGATTTTTGGCTACTAGCTATTTTGCATCCAAATTAATGAAAACTCAAACAGTTAATCATCACCTGCCTACTCAGGGCGTGTTTGTACTGAGCTGTGGTGATGTGAGGACATGAATTGTTTACTTCATGGAAAGAGAAAGGATGCTTTGTGAACGCATAAAATTGGCCTCTAAATTGCAAGTGAGAAATATCTAGCTCCCCGTACCTGTAAAGCACTGCCTCTCCTGATGTCTAAAAAGCATTTGTCTATCTATTTAATACTCTAGATCAATTATGAAAGCTGCCGATAAGAAGATCTTAACAGAAAAATCTGGTATCGCAAAACGTCCAAATCCGTCTGTAAGAATGTGATATCTAGCCGAGTATCTCCTTTGGGAATAAAAGAAGAAGGGAATGTATTCTTCACGCCACAGACAGATAATGCACCAAAATTGTGATTAAAGCAGATAATTGGATTTTTTTAAACAATGATAAGGGAAGTGACATTTTGGGCTGCAATTAATAATGGCTAGCATACACACTGGGATTACAACACTATATGCGGTGTTTAGCAATGCAAATGTAATCACTAGTGGTGTAATTAACAATGATGTAACAAAACCAACGCACGGCTTTTTGCCCTAGTTGTCCATCAGCTAGGGGCATGTTGTCATCAACAGCTT